TTCTTCAACTATATTCTTTATTTTCTTTTTGAAAGGTTTTCAACTATAATCTTGGCAGAAAGGTCATTATTGTAAACTGTGGGATCCTTTCTAAGGTTTAGGCATCACTAGTTGGGACCCGTGTAATGCACGGGCTTTGTCAAGCATATTTAAGATATATAGGATTCTTTTGACATTCGTACATAAAATCAAATCTTATCCCTTTATTTTGGATACAGTCATATAGGAGGGAAAAAGGCTCTAACATAAGCAAGGGGTGTAAAACAACCCCAATGAAAGGGCAGAGCCAAGGTGACCAGGGGGAACCTTAATCCCCACTTATACTACCTATCTCCATGTAAATTTCCCCTCTCCCCCACCCAATGATTAGCCCCCCAAAGCCCAGTCAATGTTTATTCTCCTGTCCTCATCCATTTAATTAGGTTTTGGTCCCCGTAGAAAAAAAACTTTGGCTCCTCTACCAAATGCCATTGAACTTATCTCAAATTGTTTACATTTTGTATTTAATTACCACTTAGCCCATTGTTTTGTAAAATATAGTTGAGTTTGGTCTATAGACATTTGGTCGAGACTATATAATCATTGAACTGTTTGAAATGGATAATCGTTCACATATTGATAATGATTTTTTATAATTTAAATATTTTATATTTATGATGAATATCATGGTTTTTAAACCGTCATTGACCTGGGTGGTTGGACTTTTTAGCTTGAAAACTGTCGAGGCAATCAGTTCCGTTTCACCCATAATCTGTATCTTGGCCAAAAAACCATTGACTTGGTCCGTGACCCGTTGGCGGTCAAACCGTTTAGCCGTTCGACCTAGAAAATGGTTTTTGGCCTTTTTATTTTAATTATTTATTTTTTAATTTGGAATAGACCGTTCATTTGAACTGGATAGTTGGATTGCTCAGCACGAAAACCATTGAGGAAATTGTTGACTTGGTTAGTGACTTGCTGACGGTCGAATCGTTGATTCGTTTGACTTGAACAATGGTTTTTGACCTTTTTTATTTTAATTATTTTTTGTCTTTTTAATTTGAATGGGCCACTCAAACTTGTCAGCCCAAAAAACCATCGAGGCAACTAGTTCCGTTTCACCCTTAACCTGTTGACTTGGATGGTCAAACCGTTAACCCATTCGACCCAAACATTGTTTTTTGGCCATTTTTTATTTTAATTACTTTTTTTATTTTTTATTTTTTATTTTTTATTTTTAAATTGGAATGGGCTATCTATTTGAACCGAACGGTCAAAGCATTCCGCCTATAAACCGTCGAAGCAACCAATTCCGTTTCACCCTTAACCTGTATCTTGACAAAAAAATGTTGACTTAATCAATGACCCGTTGACCCGAACGATCAAGTTGTCAACCTGTTTGACCCAAAAAAATGGTTTTTGGCCATTTATTTATTTTCTATTTTTTTAATTTTAACTAAAAGAGGCCATTCGTTCGAATTTGATCAAGGTTCGATATAATTACCTAAAAATTATAATAAATAATTTATTCACTAATTCTCTTTTCTATTAATACATTACTTTTCTTTTAATAATTTATTCATTAATTAGTAATTGAATACCAATAAATAAAATTTATAGTTATTGACAATAACCAAAAAATTACTTAAGATATCTAAGAAATATTAAAGTAAGTAGCTGAAAAAGTTATAACTAATATTTTCTTTAATTTAGTTATTATTAAAATTATTGGAATATATTTAGTCATTATTCTTAATTATTGAAATTTATTCATTAAAAGTTATTCAAAAAATGAAATTCCAATAGTTATTCATTAAAAGTTATTACTAAAATTTCAGTAATTATTACAAACTAAGAACATGTATAGCACGATGCTTATACATGAAACTTCAGCACGTTGCAAACTAATAATGTGAAATTTCAGCATCCTTGATTAATAATTATTACAAAACAATAATAGTCAGACAACAATGTAAAATTACCCGATAGTCTAACACAAAATATTAATTAAGTTTAGTGTTATAACTAAACATGCCACGTCAGATAAGATTACAAACTAATAACAACCGGGTAGCAAGCAAGTTAACTTGATCCGATGACCCATTTGACATCGTCTTCTATACCATTTGACATTGTTTTATCTACCTGATGGGGATTTCACAATCACATAGTTGATAATGATTTCAAACATTGGAAGATGTTTTAGTCAACAATTATTTCACCAACAGTTCACATAGTAAAAAATAAAGGGTAAATTAAAAAGACCCCCCATACTATGGGGTTAGTGATAAAGACCCCCCTGAACTTTAGTCGTTAGACAAAGACCCCCTTAACTGTTGAGTCAGATGATGGAAAGTGTTAAATTATCAAAATACCTCTTTAAACTTTCTCTATTTTATTTTTATTGCCATTTGCTCTTAAAACCTAACCGACCCAAAAATATCTTAATTGTCACTGGAAAAGAAGCAGATCACATATGAGGGCATGTTCCCGGTCTCTGATGAGTTTGTAGATAAACCCATTTTACTCAAAGATGCTACTACAATGCAGTCCTATAGAAAACCTGGTTCTTGGAGAGACCTAGAAAGGCGATCCAACTGCTATGGTGCAGTTGGCGGTGACCCAAAACGAGAGAGCTGGTCTAGTTAGTAAAGACAACTGTGACGTTATGGGTATATGACATTATATGGTATGGCCTTATGTGGAGAGATCATAATATTTAAGATTGGTGTGAGCAAATATCAAAATATAAGCAATAAAATTTCCACTATTAAATACTAGGTATTTGTAGTTAATCGACCAAAAGCTATAAAGCTTCCTCCATTCATTCTTCCTACTTTTCAAAGCAGTATATAAAAGGATACATTGACATCACTAACATCAACGGTGTTCAGAGTGTGATTGTGGAAGACACTGATATTCCTGGGAACAATGTGATAACAGAGTTTGTTGCAGGATATGTTATGACCTCAGTTTTTTGAAGTTAAATGCTGGCATAATCTATCACTGATTCACGTTTCCTTATAAGAATTCAAATCCCTCAACCACCGACATCTCACCAAAAGAAAATTTTTTGACCATTTATGCTTCTACAGAGTTTATATAGGCATTTGTAAAATTAAAGGAACATTATTTTGAATGCCATGAATCCCTGAGTGAAAAAACTCCAATTGTTGAGAACATCAAGATGATTAGGGAAGTGTTGGAAAAAAGAACACAGTGAATAATCAACCCCTGTTAAATCTTCAATCTTAAATAGATTATTTGCTAAGTTCCTGTAATGTTTTCTAGACCCTCGTTGCATTGTATGAAAAGTTATAAAAGAAAAAAAAACAATTAATTAATCGAACAAAATTGAGAGGGACAAAGATCAGCTCTTGAAATTAGCATAGCACTGTTCATACCACCCTAGAGATTTTGATCGAGTTCTCAAATTCTATCTTCCAATGTTTTCCCTATTTATGGGTCTTTTTTCTTCCACTTGAAAGAACAATTGATACTCATCACTGCAACCTGTCCCAACATGAGAAATTCCACTAAATCTGAACATAGATAAATTTCATTTCAACTAAGCATCTAAGCCATCTTTTCCCCAGTGGGATAGGGAGAATAAGAAAAACCATCTTTTCCCATTTCTGTAATTCATTTAATCAGGGGAAGGATGGAGGCTCTGTGGGGCTCAGACTAGTCGTATTTCTAACCAGAGCAGTGGCTAGAAAAAGACGAAGTCATCAGAAAATGGATCTTCATGGGGAGGGATCAGTACACTTACCCGGTGTTCCAAGTAGTGACTCAAGATAGGCTTAGGAACGGGCATGACATTCTTTCAAATGAAGCAGGTGGTGGCTGGTGTTTTGTGGCAATTCTAGGTTGTGTTGGCGATGGAGAAAGGTTGTGAGCCAGCTTTTATCGTCGTATTTAACTTCAAAAAATGAAAGATGGGTTTTTGGTGAGGATAAAAGAAAAAGGAGGTGGATC